AAGAGTTAATTAAATGGTTCGGGGAAGCGGGCCGCCCCTCTCGGCCGGCGGCGAGGGGTCAGTCGATGAACCGTGAACGCCGGGGCGCAACACGCCTCCTCCTTAATAATTGTCATATATATCGTCGCTGTCTGACCTCCCGCGTCCGACACAAATGGCGGGTCCACCCGTAATGGCGATTTTGTCTGCGAGATCGCTGATAGCGTTCTCGCTCAGTAGCGTAACGAGAACTAAAGTTACTCGGCACTGCGGCACTCAGTCGTTCCTCCTCCTCCTCCTCTTTCGCCCTTGTCATTCTCTCTCTTCCTCTCGCGAGTTCCGCGAAGAGATGACGTGTCGGTCGTCGTTCAAACGAGGCTGATCGGCCGCGATGCGGTGGAAACGACGACGCACGGGGTGGCCCGCGCCGAAGTTCCGCGCTGATATCTTGCGCAACCCAACTCGCGAGATTCATCGCGTGGAGTCCCGCTGCTGGACAAACGTGCAAGTTCGCACGGCTCGAGAGCCCGTCGTCGTGTACTTCGCATACTTCGCTGATTGATCGGGATCAATTGCGCGTGTCGCTTCGCCGGCGTCGCCACGCCGGCAGAAACTTTCAGCGGCGTTTCGCTCGTCACGCGCGAGACGCTCCGGATACTTTCAGCGCGGGCGACTCGCGATCTCGCGATTTCCGCCGCGACGAGATGGAGAGAGAGAGAGAGAGAGAGAGAGAGAGAGAGAGAGAGAGAGAGAGAGAGAGAGAGAGAGAGAGAGAGAGAGAGAGAGAGAGAGAACCGCGTCGCCGCGGTTGAATGGAACGATCCTCTGGTGAAACACGAACGACTCGGCTCGATTCCGGCTCGACTTGTTCAGATTTCAGGCTGAATTATCACGTTTCCTCGCGAACCTCAGCAGAATTCTGGCCTTTTCGCCCGGAATTCCCGAATCGTTCGGCATTTCGCCGGATAATTGGTTCATTCAACCGGACAGTCTTCTCCGCGCCCACATACACATACACATACACGTACATGCACGCGCAGCGCTGGCGTCAGCGGCGGCGGTCCCCGGCGATCGCGGTTTTTCAGACGCGGAACAGACGCGCGTTGCGGTTATGGAGGTGCATTTATTAATCTTTTAGCTTATCGCTCCGGACGTTGCCGGGGGCCACCGCTCGAGGGATTGCGCTGTCCGAGCGAGTATGTTTAATAAATCGCGGGCCGCGCGCGCGGCGCACGCCCTTGAGTGCTCGCCTTAATGCGCGCCTGGCGTTAATAAAATAGAATCTCTGTTTATCGAGCTGGACCGATGCATAATTCTCGTTCGCGCCTTCCGCGCGGGTATGATATCAGCTGCGCACTGCGGACGATAAATTCTCCTAGACGCTCGTCATCAACAATGACTCGTGCCTCGACTCCCACTCCACGTCTGCTGACCGTTCAGGTTCGATCACGGCACGATCGAGTCGCGCGACGAATCATCAGTGACACATTCCGACGATCGGCGAGCGATCGATTTCATCAAGGAGCGTCTCGTCGCGTCGCGTCGGCAGGAGAGAATTAGCTGAGCACACGGAGGGAAATATTCCAAGTGCAGGATCGCGGAAATCCGCGGCTGGAAATGTTGTTATCTCGCGCGGCAATGCGGCTGGATTATAGTGAACGTCGGGCGTAAAGACTGGGCACTGTGGTTGCACGGCGAGAGAGCACGTTTGTATCGAAAATAACGCGGAGATGCGGAAAAACGAGCAGCCGGGGCGCGGCAGATAAGCGGCAAGCGACGGAGGAGAGCTCGCAGCTGCCGCGTTTAATAATGAACAATTACATCGTTGAAGGCCGCGTTTCTCCCCCCCCCTCCCCCTCCTCCTTCCCGTCTCTCTTTCCGGAGAACCGTCCCAGCGATAACTGTGTTCCGCGTGTTTGTTCACGACACGGCGAGAACGCGAGACGAAGGCTGTCTTCTTTCTCCCGGCGCTCGTCAACGAGAGCGTTGCTCTCCTGAACGTGTTTTGCGTAATCGAATCCTGCCGCATCCTTGCGTTTAGTCGACTACTGCAGGCGACCAGTAAGTTAAGAGAGCGCATCAAACGTACGTCGCAAGTATGAGTCGCTGTATATATAATTACTCGCGACTTCGAGCGGCAATCGCGATTGTGACGGAACACGACGACAGGCGAGACGTCACGGGGGATTCACGGAAAAGTACGCGAGTATCTTTACTCGTATCCTTGTATCTATTAAAGAAGAGTGTAACAAAGGGCCGAAATTTACGGCGCGTATATATCATCGCCCGGTGCACCGTTGCGTCCATTCGGACGGCTCATGAATAACCGAGTGCAAACTCGTTCGCATCAATGCGCTCGTATACACGGCCGACATTGGTTCGACGTTGACGCGTCCGCTGCATTCGTCGGCGCTTATGCACATACGTCATTGTTCATTTCGTCCCTGTCGCCGGTTTAATGTTATTAGCGTCGAGATACGTTTATTAATTATCGACGTAGAATCGTAGCGTAAGCGCGGCACTGATGACGATCGGAACGACGCTCAATAGCCTCAATAGCGGGGTGGAAGGCGGGGGGGGAGGGGAGGGAGGGAGGGGATGTTACATAATGCAACACGCGGCAATAAGCCGTGTGTCGCACTCGGAGATTTTCCGCGAGCCCTTCGAGCTCGAGCGGAGCAAGCTCGCAAGCTCGTAGGTCCGATTTCGAGTGAGACTCGACTCAAGCGAGGCGTTCACCCGCGATCGCGACTCGCCGCGATAATTAGTCGGATTTCACGACGCGATGCCGGGATGCCGCGCGCCGGCCGGCGAGATTGGCGCGGGCGCGCATTTTCAAGATTTCTCCGCGTCGTGTAACGACCACTTAACTTAGATTAGCCACGCAGTCTGGCCGGGAGTGCGCCGGTGCTGGTAAAAAGCCGACATGAGTCAGACAGTTTTTCCCTCTCCTTCCCGTCGCCGGCTAATAATCTCATTGCCGATCCTCGAGGATCGGCAATGAGCATCTCCGAGACGCGCGCGCGCGCGCGTTAAAAGCGGGCGCGTCCTCGCAGATTTATCAAGCTAATTTGCTCGTCGGGATATCGACAAACCCGGCGAGCGGCAGCGGATAGCGAAGCGAAGAATGGTCTTTTTCTTTCCCCGGTCGCTGCGATCGGGAAAGGAACAACGCGACCCGTTTACCCGCGACCTTTCGCCTCCGCCCGCGAGTCGTCGCTTTAATATCTTCGGCTAATATGCTTCGGCTCTGTGCGAATGCAATTTTCGCGCCGGGAGACACGCCGCTAATTTCCAATTCGCCTGAGAGAGACGTGGCGGGATAATCTAATGATTCCGTCTTCTGCCGCGCAGCACATGCAATACGGTATTCCGCGATTCGTCTCGGCCGCGACGCGACCGCACTTTCGCGGCCAATTCCGCCGACAATGATTCCCTCTGTCCTTCTTTCCCGCCCCCCCCCTCCTGCCTCCCTTTCTCAAGGCGCGACGGCAAGGTTCCAAGGGTACACGACTCGCCGATGGATACGCGTCGCATAACGAGATCTCTCGCGCGAGTTCCTTCTCGAATAAATTATTTACCGCGTAGGTCAGACGAGGGTTGCACGGGGGGGGGGGTGGAGGGGGTGCGGATGAAACAACGGCCGCAACCAGAGGAGCGCAGCAGCAGCAGCAGCTCGCGCACATGCAGCGGGATTACCGAGAGACGACTCCGAGGTCTCCGTCGTGTGTCTCTCTCACGACCACTGCGCGCCTCTCTCTCTCTCTCTCTCTATTTTCTCGCCCGTCGGGGATCACGGGAATGTCCTAACGAAATTCCCCTCCTTATCGTGGAAACGTTCCGCCGTGATGCCGTAGCTTCTTCCATCTCGGACCTAATCTGGCCTCGCCATTACGCTTTCAGCGTCGTCGAGCTTTTCGATCTCGCGGAATTACTTTCTCGCGGATCGAGTTTTGCGGCCGGGCCGGCGATGGGTAATCGAGACGATATCGGAGATATAACGCGCATTCGTGCGAAATTAGCGGCTCTATCGGGACAGGGCCGGCGAGAGAAACTTCGGAGAGGGCTCGTCGCTCGGCGCGGAACCGCCGAATGAAAATTGAAAGCCGACGTCGCGCGCCGGGAACTTACGACGACGAGGGAAGGGAGGGAAAGCGGGAGGAAATCGCGAGCACGGAGGTGGACAAGACGGAGCGCCGTTGAGAAGTCGCATCGCGTTAGAAAGTCCAGGGGGCACAGCGACGATGAGAATCAACCACGGGGAGATCCGGCAATGGCGAGACGCTACATTTCGGGTAACTTGGAGCTCGGCCAGAATCAATGTTATTCTCGCCGCGGCTCGCAGGCGAGAGCGAGCAAATATTATATAACTCCGGATATCGTATCAGCGACACCGGACGTTCGTTTGCCCAAACGTAGGGAAGAGAACGTCGTGCGTGTCTAAATGCCCGCGTTGCTTTTAGTGTGCTTTTAGCGGAGGTTTTTCGCGGCGCTCGCGTTTTGCAACAATTGCACAACATGTATAATCTTGGAATCTCAACAACTCTCTCGGACCCCGGGGCTCGATACACACCGCATCTCGCGCGTCTACACGGTAAATGGAAGTGTTAATAATATAAAATATCGGCTGTGTGTGTGTGTGTGAGATGAATAGAGTTTAGAGGGGAGGAGGAAGAAACGCGCGCGCGCGCGCGGCTTGTGGTTAGCCCCGAAGGTCAAGCGTAATTATTGGTTACGTCGTAATGGTTTAAGGAATCTTCATGTTCCCTATTGTCTCGGATTTCCTAGGAACAAAGTGTACCAAGATAACCTGCGCGAGACCGGGAGGCCTTGAAACCCGAACCATCATCAAAGAGAGGGCAATAAAACCTGCGGGAATGCCGTCAAGACACGTTTCGTCGAGGCCCTTGTCGTGGCTTTATTCCGGCCGGCTCTCGGGACGGCTCTCCCGCGAGGCTCTCTCCGAGCATTGTTTTTAGATGCGTGCGCTGTGTAGCGCTGTTTTACGAGCACATACTTACGTGTTTTGCGAAGGTGTCGGGCACATACGCCGCTATAATAAATATTAAGAGCCCCAGCGACCTGAAACGAGAAGGAATGTCGCGTTAATAACTTATTTAATCACTCGCTCGCACACGCGCGCGCGCGCAACCCGCTCGCAACTTCGCGTATATGTGCTCTACACATACTCGTCCGAAATAGTTGATTAATCCGACTCACGTTGCGTCGTGGTCGCAACGCGCGCGATAAGATTCCATCACTGTCAAATGGACCCGTTTCAATGTCGCGACACGATTACCTTACATTTCCACCGGCGGTGCATTCCGACGCGTCGTATTTTTCATACACACGTTGCGCATCATATTTTTGCCATCGCGTTGCATCATATTTTCATATTTCTTCCACGTGTGTATATAAAAATGCAGATACAACGCGGACGCGCGATATATTCAGACGAAAATCTCTCAATATTCACTATATTTCCCGCGAATGTTCTCCTCCCCGCGTTTGTTCTTTTCATCAGAATTGTAATTATTACTGTTGGTATATTAGAACAAAAGCAGGGAGGGAGGGAGAGAGAGAGAGAGAGAGAGAGAGAGAGAGACAGAGTGACAGAGAGACAGAGAGAGAGAGACAGAGATACAGAGAGACAGAGAGAGACAGAGAGACAGAGAGAGACAGAGATACAGAGAGACAGACAGAGAGAGAGAGAGAGAGAGAGGGGGGGGGGGAGAGCGAAGCCAACTCGCGCTGCTAATGCAACGTAAAACACTCGACGCTTTCACGAGAGGAGCCATTGACGCGAAACAAGCGCGCGCTGCATACAGAGCAGCGCGCTCCACGCGCTGTGAGTTATCAGCGCAACATTGACCCAGACTTTGACGCGGCATCAGCGGGGCTCGTTACACCGAGACAAGTTTCACTGCAAAGTGGTTCCACGACTGGTTGCGTCAGCGCGCACTGGTAGACAGAGTTACACGTTACGTGGCATTACGTGAATCGAACGAGCTTCTTCTTCCTCTTCTTCCTCCTCTCCTTCTCTATCACCACCTCCTCCTCCTCCTCCTCCACCTGACGAAAGCGAGTCTCTCTGTGCGAACGACTGCGACCGAGTATTCCAGCGTGAAGCGGAACGACGCGACATGGTCATCCCCTCGAGGTGTCCGCGGTTAGCGCGATCTCGCGCGGACCAAGGTCGAGTCGTTCGCGCTAACGACCCGCCTTATTTCTCATCGACTCTTCCAGATGCGCAACCTACTTTCGACACGGGAGATTTACACGTCATTAAGCGGCAAGGCGCGCGTGACAAATTTTGTGACAAATCGCTCGCGTTGAATCAGAGAGAAAGCACTTGAGTCGCTGAATGGGCCAACCCCGGTGGGATAAAGGGCAGAGAGGAGGGGAAAATTTCACGAGAGAGAAGGAGAGAGAAAGAGAGAGATCGTTTAAATCGTTTAAAGGTAATGTAATGCTGCGAGGTAACGTAAACGCGTGTGAAAGAGGGCCTTTGTACTCTCGAGGCTCGGCCTCGACGAAGATGAGACCCTTCCGACCCGAATTCAGGTCGTCGTCGTCGTAAGAGACGCGTGCACGTAAGGCTATCCCACGATAGATAAACAAGCGCGGAATATCGCGTGTGTGAGAGAGAACCGGGAGTTGAAAATATTATCAATATGAGGAGCCAATCCGCGTACGTGCAAGATTTGCACAACAACTCACCGTACGAGACTTCGGCGCGACACCTCGCGAATCCTGCAATCCGGCGAGTCGCGCACGTTCCAGCGTGTGCAAGCAAGATTCCAATACGTAAAAATCCGCCAGGCGCGCTAACCTTCAGCTTTTCCTCACTCGACGACCTACTCGACTTTTGCGCGATCGAAGGAAGGGGGGACTCGAGGGGAGCGAGAAGGCACGTCGCTCAGGAGAAACCTCCGGCGAATTATCCCGGCGTCACCCGCGCGTCCGACAATGCGCAATGACGAAAGTAAATATCAATTCTCCCGTCGAACGCTCAACTCTCGACCTTCCACCTCGGGGACGAGCGTCGGTCGCGGGGCGAAAACGCGGGGAACCTCCGCTCCGCGAGCTCTAATCAAGAGATCGATCGTAATTCCGCCGCTTGTATTGTATCCCCGATATAACACGAGCGACGGAATTGCGCTGTAATAATATAAGCGCGAGAGAGGCGTTTGCAAAATATAATAATCGAAAGGTCGGAGGGGTCGACGTGTGGAGGGGAACGGTGAAAGGGGAGAGAGCGACTCGACGGGGCGCGCGAGCGAGCGAGCGAGCGAGCGCGATGTCTTTGTCAGCGGCAGCGAAAATCGTGAATGAGCGTGTTTTTGCGCTGCATTGGCACGCGTGCTTGCGTAAGTTCCTCGAGTGGGCGTCATTGAGGTTTGGAACGATGCCCGGACCTGGCGGTGACTCGCTATCGGGAATGGGCGAGCTCGAATACACACACACACACACACACACACACACACAGGCGTCTGTTATCGGCCGGCGCGGCCTCTAATATTCTCGCGAGCAATGATTTATCGGCCTTGTCGATATCGATTTTACCGCAACGGTAATTACGACGGCGTGTTCGCCGTCGCATGTCGTGTTTAAAACGCGACGTGCCGTTCCGACCGCGAGAGTTCCGCGTATCGCCGCAGCGAGCGAGCGCGAAACGCACATCCCGCTCCGATTGTTCGCGAGAGCCGTTCCTCACGTTATTTCGGCGCGCCGACATCAGTGCGTTTAGGAAGTCGCGGCCGATGAGAGACAACGGAGGTGGTGGTCCGCACATGAGCACAGGGGACAATGGCTGGACAGAGGGGGGGGGGGGAGAGAGAGAGAGAGAGAGAGAGAGAGAGAGAGAGAGAGAGAGAGAGAGACGATCATTCTATGGCCGCTGTGTCTCAACGCTAATTACACGACTCCCAGCGACTCGAATGTTGCACCGCAAGAAGATAATTTGCGGCTTATCTCTCCTAATAAAAATGGGCCACGGAACGTTAGCGGCTCGAGGGAGGCTGTGCGATTCTCAAGGCTCGCAATTATTATAACTGGTCTCAGCTGCGCGCGAGAGCTCTTAGGTAAAATAGCTTTATGAAGCACGAGCGCATGCAGCCAGATACGGAGGGCGTTTAATTGGAACGCAGTTTTCAGCGCGCTAAATGCACCTGCGGGGCGTACCGTTCGCTTCTTTTTTTCCCGGGGCGCGATCGCGCCCAGGGAGCGGTTCCGCGATATTTTTTCAAACTCCCGCCTCCGGGGTGTTGCGTCATACGCGGAGATAATTAGATCGCGACCTGACGTAATCGCGGGTGCCAATGGCGCGGCACTCGATAAAATTACCATCGCCCGATATAATCGAGCTCGAAATTCGCCGGCTCGAAACTTCGGAGGTGTTCCCCCGCGCCGCGCCGCGCGCGCGCGCGCGCGCGAAAATAACTCGCCGGAATTCGGCGAATCGCGAAGGTGGCTTTGTCGGCGTAAAGTTTCATATTGCAGTGTACAGTTCGCGCAATTTCTAGTTATGAAATTCTCCTGCGAACTTCCGGGGATGTCAATAAAGTTTAGTCGCGGGAATTGCGAGAATATGCAAACCAACGACAAACACAAAGAGACGGCGGTAATTTTATAGTTACGGCTGCTGCGCGCCGGCGCGAGCGTATACGCTTTGATTAATAAGTCAGTTACACGCAACGTGTCTTTTCTTCCTCGCGCGAAGTTGCACACACCAACCGTGACGTCCGCAGAGGAGACGCGACGATCCGCCGGAGAGATAATCCACCGCGAGAGGGTCCGAAGTCTCGTCGTAGTGTCGGTTGACTTAAGATTCGACATTTGTCTGTTTGCTCACTTTATCGCGGAAAACCTTAATCCCTCCGGTGCACAATGTATTATTATCTCCAAATTAATTACACGTGCGCGCGGGAGGACGAAACCACCAAAGTAACATTAAAGTAAAATTAACGAACGCGGAAGATGCGATTGCGAGAGAGGCAAGAATAAAATCGCCCGAACGAAAAATTATCATACGAGAAAAGAGGAAAAAGTAGCAACGGCCAATTATAAAGAGCCAGCCGAGTGTTTTTTACGATGGCAGCTCCGAAGCGAGGTAGGACGTATTTATACATGTACGTCGCGACCGCAATCGATCTCCTGTCGGGGGTGACGTTCGGGGGCGAGTCAAAATACGGCGAGGATAAAAATCTCGTTCCTCGATGGGACGAGAGACAATAGTAATCGTCTGCCCGCGCACGCGCGCGCGCGCGCGCGCGCGCGCGAGCGAGCCTCGTCGCCATCTATAAAGTTCTAGATCGACGGTACGTCAAACGAGATTTGGAGCCGCGCATGAATATGCAAATGGGGCCCACGATCAGGACGACCGCGTTCGAAACTCTTCTAACGAGGACCCCCCACGATCGCATTCTTTAAACTTCGGCTTTATAGACCAGCCGTGCGCTCTCCGATCCGAACGTCCAATTACATCGTGGCCGGGACGGCATGCTGTTTTACGTCGCGACGCGGCGAGAGCGGCTGATGGAACCGCAAAGCGCGGCGGACTACCTTCGTATAATGCCCAGCTACTTCGCCCAGCAACTCGAACTCCGTCGAGTTTAATTCAAGCACAAGCTCATGCTCAAGCAAGCCTACACTTCGCCGCATCGTGCTTCGCGTCGATGCGCGCATCAACCTCTCCTCTTTAGCCCCTTGACGGTATCGCGGAAATACGCAATACCGCGCGCGTCTCGATATTTCTGCAGCGGCGCAATATTTCGGAAGTTGCGTGCTCGAAGGCTCACGGTTTCAACGGTGCCCAATGATGAACTTGAAAATTCCAGAATTCAAATTCGCGAATGTAATATGACCGATCTGAAATTGAACGAAATGCTAAAGGTTTGACAAAAGCTTTGAAATGCTGTGCCGCGCGGTATTTCTAACGGCGAATCTTAAAAATAAAAAAGAAGACAAGGAGTTGGGACTGAGAATTATTCGGGTGATGTGATGGTGAGAAAAAGAAACTGCCTCTCGCTAGAGGAATACGAGAGACAAAATTGCTGTCGATATCAGCAAGCAGGATCATG